ATTTAAAGTGGACACAATCTAAGAGCTGATAATATCTAAGATTCCTTAGTATTTATCTTATAAGTTCATACATTATAATTTACCAAACTGTATATGTTGGTAGCAATATCGAAGTCAATCAAAGTCACGAACCTCTATACCTAAATAGCAATGCCACGTTTCAATTCAGTCTGCGGATTTCAAAGTTCAAACCTATATTAATATATAATAGGTCGGTAGCGCACCGTAATTAGATTCCACCTTCAAGAGAACCACAAGCTTGCTCTGTCAAAAAATTCCCTAGCAAGTAACCCTACTAATGAGCAAGGTACATAGCATGACATATCTATATCAGTATGTAATAAGCTAGTATATGCGTCCCGTTATCTGCTGCATACAGTTTGTGTTGTTTTCGCTCGGCGGAGCGCGAAATTATTGATTGTTGTAATTAATTGCAAACAGCCTACTGATAAAATGGGTATCAATTTTAAATTGGTGGCCATTATTTTGATAATAAAATGATAATCAACTAATATAATAGATTTCAGACAAAGTCAAAAGCGACTTATAACACCTGGGTTTTCTGAACGCCATTCTGCCTCTTCACTAAGCAATTCGGTTAAAGTAGCAATACAGTACAGATAAATGTATCTACACTTTTCCGCGTCTATTATAGTCATGTGATAATCTATAAAAAGTCTTTATATTTTATACATCTACTGTAAGAAATACGACAATACATTTCTAAATAAGGTATGTCTGTACTTTAGACAATAAATAAACTAATCCGTAGCTAAAGATAAATGGAAAAATATATTTTTCGTTCTATGGTAACAATGTTTGGCCAATAATCAAAGGGCCGTGTGTTCGATCCCCACCGAATCCAACATGATTCTAATCAATTTGTTTTCTAAACATGGACTTCGTCTGAAAACATGGATAGTAAATTGGTGGTAGGAATATCGAAATTCCGTCCAGGCAACAAACTGCCGTCCACAGATGAAAAATCCGTGAAGTTTAATCGCGTTTCAGTTTCAGTCATATATATCCAAAGATTAAATAGGTCGACAGCAGATCTTAGATGTTATATGGCTGATATGATGATACTTCACCTTCCATCAAGGAATACCCATGTTTGTCTGTCCCCTCCTAACATAAATAGATGTATTTATAATCGATTGCTTATTTTAATATGTATATTCACAGCTTCAGATCCAAAGTATATCCAAATAGACCAGCTCCAGGACACAAATGAAAGCTGGAACTAAGCTTCATTAATTACTTCGCAATGTGAAATCTCATTACAGTCGTGCAAATCGGTCTGCGATCGATTTTTCCCTTGCTGTGCCGTGGCTGATTCGATGGCATATATTTTATCGTTTGTGTTGTTCAGGTGACGTTCGTGTTGCCATAATTTATTGGAAAATTATTATTTTTCATGTCTCGATAATGACACAACAAAATTCCCGGTGGCCGATTAAATTGTACTCGTAGAATATACATTTCATTGAGTACATTAAATAAGTAGATTTATAATACACTTTATATGACATAATTCCTTTTTTATATAATCTCTATAACTAGACGTTGGGCCTCCTAAGCTTCAATCAGGTTATCAAAATGAAACACGTCAGTGCGTTGCCTTTAAAAATTTTTTATGTGGTGCACGAATGGGGATTGAATTTCCGAACATAAGACGGACGTGCACATACGTAGATAACGGCGAATAAACGAAGCGGTGCTGGAGAAAATGCTGGGAATATTGTAGACCAACTTTCGCACAATTATTTCTATCCTGCAGGAACTTGGCATTAAGCAGCGCCTATCTTCAACAGTACTGACTTTTCGCTAATACGTTTCTAGGCGTAATAATTCATCAATTGAGCGGCTTGTCGTTCAGGAAAAAGTGGAGGAAACCAGGCCACTGGGCAGATCCCCGATGCGATGGACTGACTATATAAGGCTTGCGGTACGATACTTTGAACGAATGCAGCAGAATTACAGAATAACCCGGAGAAATGGCGAGAAACAGTTAGGCGAATACGATCTACCCTTTCCTACAATACAAATTACGATCACGGCCTCTCTGCCAAGAGAGATGCGACTGAGAAGAAGATCACGAAATACAGGTACATCTTATAATTGTACGAAATGTCACAGAAATATCGTAAAAGCGCATTCCAAATATTAATGCCATCTATTATATAACTATGGCAAGGGCATTTTGTCTACGGTCAGATGTACCCCATACTTATCTGAACTCACATGAAACCACAATACATAGAGTTATAATATCGTTATTGGTCGTTTTATTGAGAAATTATCCTAAATTAGTTATGGAAGCTGGTCCGCCTACAACAAGCTATCCGTCGTATCGCATTGGCGCAAATTAATGAGGGCGGGTTATTTATTTCAGGATTTCATTGGTATCAGCCGGTAGAATATCAGTTCTACCTTTAGGATTATTCATATTTTTACTAATATAAATCTAAGTTATGAAAATTTTTCGTAAGCGTATGTGTGCAGAATTTTAATAGCATTACTTATACAAAGTAACTAAAATAAGAGGGTTCCACTTATATGCATTACAGGAATCCTCCTGCTGTATTTGTCGGCAATGTTATATTAAATACAATTTCTTTGCTTGGGAACTCGAAATTACAAAGGTCGGTTTAGAAAATGTAGAGTTTAAATTAATCGAATATAAATTATCAATTTTGGACTACCTTCTTGTCCTAATGATTAATTGTATTAAAAAGAATGCATATTATTAATCGAACCCAGGAAGATCGTGGTAGTTTTGTGAGAAAAAGGTACTGCCCTACTAGTCTGTACTAATATTGTAAAACTGAAGAGTTTGTTCGTTTGTTTGAACGCGCTGATCTCTAGAAGTACCAGTACAAATTTAAAAAAATCTTCCGTTGGTTAGAGCATTCATTGAGGAAGGATTTAGGCTATAAAATATCGCGCTGCGATCAATATAAGCGAAGAAGAGTGGGGAACGTGAAATTGAGTATTGAGAACACTTTTCAAAATATCCAAAAAAAAAATTTAAGATGTCTCTATTTACTATTCTTCGATTATTGAAACAGGCACATGAGTTTCATTTTCACGAAATGAAATCCTCCTTAGTACTTCTACTCTAAGTCTACTGCCTTTTGGGCACATATAATATAATAGCTTATTAATATGTAATATAGACAAGTATATGCAAATGTTCCGCCCGATGGTCGCGATGCAGTAATGAGCTCATTACGCGATATATATCGGAGCTGCGGTATATATGGCCGCGGCCATTTATCGAGGCACAATGCATATCAATATTCATAATTAACAGGATATTTTGAAGGAGTGCACTCGGCCGGTGAAGCGTAAATGCGGTTGTGCGTAGATTCACCCGTTGAAAGCAACAAGCTGAATATCATTTTGAGCTAAATACGGGGCGTTTAGTGCTGTAGCTTGCTGCCGTAGATTAGCCGTGTGAGGCAAACACATGCTATCTTATATTTGGATGCAATGCAACAAAAACAAATGCAATTTTAACTATCCCGTTTGAAAATTTTCATATTTTTCACATGTTGACACATGAAAGCCTTACTTAAAATTAAGTCCATTTTAAAAATTTACGACACGGGCGGTACTCGAACCGGATCCACAGTGTTCCGTACTGTCAAAACACTTGTAATTTTAATTTTTTTTATCTCAGCAGAAAAAGATATTATGAAAAAGTCATTTTTGTTATTATTTTCTATTGGGGACACCAATTGAATTCGGCGTAATCAGTCCACATTTTAGTCCTTTAGTTTTCCCTTTAAGTAGGTTGTTGGGTTATCAAACTCTCGTTGTCTCCAATTTAAACCTTTTAAATTCTCTGCAATATCTTAATATTCGTTTCTTCATTAATTGTTTAATATTGTTATATCATCTGTGTCCATATTATGTGTTCTAATTCTGAGTATATACAGCATTCAGTGAGTACATGGAGTATTTTTGCACACTCTTTGCAGTCACGACATAAAGAGTCGCTTTCTCCCATCACTGTGAGATATTTATCTAGACGACAATGTCCTATTGAACTGTAATTTATATTATCTTTTTAAATACTGTTTAGAAATTATAAATGGTTGTTCAATACTTAATAACTTCCCAATTATGACCTGCAATTCACTTATACGTTTTAAAATTACTCAGAAATTTCATTTTAAAACATTTGATTTTAAGATTTTACGCAATCATACTGTTATACTTATTAATAAATAAATAAAAGACAGTCAAATGTTATTTAGATTTATTAATATGTATAAATTAACTTCGCTACCTGCCGTCGGAAAGTAACTAGAAGCCTTATTTTGCTTAGCAACATAAATGTTCGAACAGGGATAAATCTATGTATTAATAATAAAACGTATTGCACAAAATTGTTACGTAACTTAGAGTTTTTTGGAAAACAAAAAAAACATCTTATGTACCAGCTTTCATATCCAATGTTTGAATTGTTCCAATATTCGATTTCTTTCCAATGAATGAATTTATATAAAAGAAATGATTGTATTATTCACTCTTTAAAAATATTTATAAGCTTTTTAAAATTATTGTTTTATCGTAAATAATATCGTTAAAACATTAAAAATAGTTTTGAACTAGCGAAAAAAGTAGGTACCTAAAACTGAGGTAATCTATGAGTATCTACAATGGACAGACTTGACATTTTCAACAAATTTTACCTTACGTCTAATTGTATACACCTACTCAACTTTAATTGCACAACTATTGCACTTTACAAGTCGCATTTACAACAGAATATTCACAATTTTATTTACACGAATCGCGGTTCTAGCCGAGTGAGGTTATATTTTTTGATTTCGCCAATTTTATTACGAATGCTGCTGAAACAAACCTACTGTATCTCTTTCAATAACACATTTTGCGTGAAATCGTATATTATAGGACGGGAGCGATTTACTTTTTCGAATACATTGTAGTTTTGTTGACAAACCGTGTTTTATTTACAAAGAAAACTCCTAATATGGTCGCCAAACAGTGTTGCTATCTGGTTGTGGGTTACCGCGCTGTCCGAGGTTGTTGACTCTGCCGTCCTCGCCTCTCGCCGCGGCAGCTGCGCAGGAGTTCCCCCCACCCAACAACAAATCTCCTTGGCCATGGCTATGTTGTCTATGGTTGTTTGTCGTTGACGATATCTGATCCATCATAGTTTGTAGTTCATTGTGATGGTTCTGAGTCGAATGTATTGTATTCGAATGTAAGGGGTGAAAATTATGCGTTTGATTTGCAGCGGTATACAGTTGGCTGTACAGGAGACTAGCCGGCAGCACGGGGTACAGGGAATTATTACAGTTACTGCTCCCGTACGTGGAGTTCTGTGAACCCATGAGGGAGAAGTTGGAGGTGTTCGTATTATGACCGATGTTTGTAGTGTTGGATGTTAAAAGATCGTCTTGTATCGGTGATTCTGGTTGCGAACTGTTGTCGCTCAGTGACCTTGGGCCTGTTGAGAGGCTGTAGTCTGTGTTGTTGTTGTATCGAGGTAGAAGAGATCCGTGGTGTGAGGGCGATGAGCTCACGAGGCCAGAGAGCTGTTGATCCAAATCCACGCCGGTTGTGTCAGGTAGAACTGCGTTAAAATGAGACATGTTACATAAATACGGTTATGAATTCCATGAAACATAGAAATTTAAGTACATATATCTATCTCTTTCGATTAACTAGATCCAACCATAGCAGTTTCTTTCAACAAAACCTGAGGTTTGTTGTAGCATATTTGTTTATAATAGTTTTATTATTATTTTGTGATTTTAAATTCTAAAAATACCAACCGTTAAAATATTTTTAACTAATTTTTATTCTAGGTATAAACGTCATAAGTATAACGTGGGGGAAGTCATAAAACGTTGGTACATTTAATTTCACCATACTGGTTACATGAATTATGGCCTCATATTGATCGTTAGTTCCGTCGTAATAAAATTTTGAAGCTGTAATTAGGGAAGTAAGGTGTGTATTGTCTCAGTTTGGGTTTAACTCAAAGCGGATGTGCTCTATTCAATATTGTGATGGAGCTAAAAATATATCATCTGCCAACAAATCTTTTTTTTTTGAAATTTTTGATGAATACCACTGGTGGAAAGTGATCATGCCTATCTAGAATAAGATATGATTGCAATTACTTTATTTTTTTATATTCTGTAATATTATTGTAATTATTTGTATTACATATTGAATTTGAAAAATTTATAATTATGATACGAACTTTATTAATTGTAAACATAAAAGTACTCTCATTTATGTAATAAAATAAAATATTCAATTATTGCTATCATAACATACATGACAATATTTATTGTCAAGTTTCCCTCTATCCTACAAATTTGTACCATTTTTAACCTGTGGCAAAAATTGGATAAGGCAACTTAAGAAGTTTTCACTTTAATAAAATTAATAATATTATTTAACCAAAGTATATATCGAAACTGACCTGTATTATTTGTAAAATCCTGTGTCGCAGTTTGATCAGGCACAGTTCCGGCGAATCCGAGGGCCGGTGGGTTGAACTGTGTTGCCGCTGGCGCCGCACAAGACGGTAAGTACGCGGGGTATGCTCCTGCGCCGCCGTAGCCCCAATGCGAATTGCTTGAACTTAAACCGAATTGACTCATATCTGTGAATGAAACAATAAATTCAAAATTTAAACTTCAAACTTATTATTTAGAACAGATGGTAATTTTTAAAATGGAAGATTGAACGGTTCAAGAAACCAAATAATATGTATGATAGAATAATTCCTTTTTTAAATAATCTAAAAATATTACCGTGGCATAAGACTAACTCGCAAGAACGACATATATGCGAATATATATAACGGTACGATATAACGGTTCTAAAGCTGCTTATAAAGCAAAAATAACTAACCCACGCGGGAAAGTCGCGGGCACAGCAAGTATACTAATAGGATGTATCCCAAAACAGCATCAACACGAGTGCCACTTATAAAGTTATCGACGCACAGCGCAGCCCGCACTGTTCGTCCACTCTATTTTTTCGAGAGCGCAGCCTTTTATTTGTCGGTATCACGGTTCCATTTTTGGCCGGCGATCGGTTCGACTCGGTTTTTGTACGCGCGCCGATTTGTGACTTTTTTTGCGCCAAGCGTACTCGTTCGGATTGCGCGTCGCTTTCGATACGATTTTTTTTGCATGATTGAATCCACGCAAGTGATTGTAGTTTGCTGTATCGCGGTCACGTCGATTCATTGGCGTTTTCAAACATTACAAGTGGTTTATTAATTTAAATTTCAACGCAGTTGCGTTTCTGGTGTGTGCTTATTTGTTAAATAAACTGTAATTCACGCGAATACTTACGAGTAAAGTGTAACTTACGAAAGACTTCAATATAAACACCCCTAAAGGTTTGAAACGTGAAATATATTAGGTAACTTATTATCTATTTATTTCAACTACGACCCCGTGACTGCGGCTGCTGCAAAGCATCTTAAGCGTCATTTCGTAGTCAAAATAAAATTAAAAATACGCTAACAAATATTTTGCGTTTACACCGTTAAAAGTGTTTTATTTCAATGATACCCCATTTTCTGAAGAAGGACACTTTTATAATAATTGGTAGTTTGACTAAATACACCATAAAATAAAACCTTTTACAGCCTATTATGTCCTGCCCAAGTGAAAATATTCTTATCCAGGAATTTGAACCTAGACTTAACGCTGTATTCCGGTGATACGTTAAACCGCTTAGCCACAGAGACAGTCAATTGATGTTATCACATGGCGTACTTATTAAAACCCCATATTTTATACCTCAAAGTCATTCAAATTTCAGACCTTGCGATCTTCAGACCAACTACGTAGTCAATCTCTTTATATACATATACAAAACAGCATATAGGTTCTTTATACTAAAAAATAAATTGATACTTACTCTGACACGTTGTGATGGGAGGCATCCGGAAACCACCAAGGGGGTCCGGCGGAAAGGGAAAAGGCCGCTGCCCAAACGCGAAGTGGAACTGCTGCTGCTGCCCTAGGAGAGACAACACTATATCAGTACGATTATGCTGCTCTAGAGTACAACTATTGAATTTGGTTGAAATGTATCAACTCATTTGTTAAAAAATTTACTTAATAATATTATTTATTTTTTAAATACAATTATTGTTCCCCTTATTTATTATTGCCTTATTATTTATAAAACACACCACAGAAAATACATATTAATAAGGAAAAAAAAATTACGTAATAACTTACAAAAAACCTTATAGCTAATAGGATTTTCACTTATTGTCATACTAAAAACCATATATAGATATTTATTTATTTTTAAACATAAATTTATTATTAGAGCTTGGGGTGAAAATATTATGTATTTGCATTAGTGACGATTAAATTACATCAAGTTGATCAAAAATAAAAATGTATATCGGTCGGGCCCCTGCCCGATATTTTAGCTAATTTTCCTTTTACCGGTATTCAAATTCAGGACTCATGACAGCACATGAATCTACGTTTAACCGTTGAGGTGTATAGGCAGTCACTAAAATCTCAAATCGAATAATAAAGGCTAAAAACGCATGCTTCTCTGCATGTTGTAGATTAACAATAAAAACTATACTTAACAGTTATGGAAAGATAGTTGCAAACAAATCTATGCAACTATGTTTGCGATAAAATGATATAAAGATGCATTATATCTCGCCTGTACATAGATAATATTGTAGATACGCCGTCTATTTGAGCTACCTATACAGCTATGCGCACAGTTGATTTGCGTTACAATCTAATGAAGCACACCTTAAGTGCTACATTAGATCCAATATGTGTGCTCAATTCATTAGACACACGCAATTGTTGATTTTGTAAGAAGTGCCTTTTGTTACTTATTCAGATTGTTTATGATAAAAAATCATAGACAAGAACGGGCTTCACGGAATAGAAGCGAAGAAGATTGACTCCTCGTCAATAGAACACAGAAACAAACTGTACTATCGACCTTTCTTATCTAAGGACACAGAAATCCACAGACTGTAATCAAAGTGCGGATTCATCACTTCCCTTTCATCTGTGTACCGTAGGTCGTGGCCCCGGACGGACTTTCGATATTCCTACCATCCATTGAATATTCCGTTTTTTCGAAGACGTATACAAAGACGGAGGAAAATTTAATTAGAAACATGTTGAACCAAGCTGGAATCTAATTTACAACATGTTGATCAAATGATCAACGATTTGTAAATTAGTTGATATTGAAAGATGTAACAATGTGTTGATCATTCAACACATTACTACATTTTTTTAAGTTAGAGGACAGATGAGCTCATGGTTCACTTGATTAACCTCAGCTATATAAGATCCAAACAAGATGAGGGCTATTTCATCTGTGGTTCGTGAACCGGATGGTATTTCGATATTTCAACCACCCATCTAGTATCCAGGTTTCCAGACGAAGTCCAACATGTTAAAAAATATATAAATCGTGTCTATAGTTTACGCGAGTAGTACACATTTAAATAAAAACATTTAAAACGCGATAACACTATTTTTAACTTCGGCCCGACGTTTAGGATGCTTTGCAGCAGCCGGCGGGAGACTGTCTCCCCGTGACCACGGCTGCTGCAAAGGGCCGGATCGGGCCTGTTTTATTTAAATATAAATCGATTAGATAGATTTCCTGAAAATCAGTGTTGTAGCATAACCGTGCAGCAACTTATGTTACTTATGCCAAAACACCCTTTTAGCACTACTTTTATTCAAATTAAAATGTAATCTTTTTACAATAATAATTTTATTGTAATTACATTTATTTGTACTACTACTACTAATGAATAAATAAATGCTAAATAAAGAGATTTATTATTATTACAAATGTTATATTAGGTAGGGATCAACCCACGACCCGTTGATTTTTAGCCATTCATTGCTACCGATGAGCCTGTAAGAAATTTGGACGGAGCCGTTACAAATGCAGTTCAAAAACAAGTGGTTACATCAATTCCAATCTAAGTCTTGCTGAGTGAGGGCTGCCCAGGTGTCACTCCGACGTGTTCAGTCGTGCAAATTATTCAAGCTACAAGCCTATATTGTCCGCCCTTCACACAATATAACTCAATGTACCGTCGGAATTTGTATTACACGTGTTTATTACGGATAACGATGATGCCTCTACACCTATGGGTTAATTAATATGAAGTCTATACTGTCTCTATATTATCTCTATATTCTTGTCTCTTATTGGTATACGCAATTCGTATAAATTTGGATTTCAGTATATTCGCAATCAAATAGTATTATTTTTGCTAGTAACTTTTAATATAATTGAAAAAAGGATGTGATTCCAAAAATCGATTAAGGTATAGCTAAAATAGGCTGCAAAGCATCAGAAACGTCGGGCCGAAATTAAATATCATTTTCAAATAAGTTTAACTAATATATCGCGTTTTAAACCGTTAAATTGTCTTATTTAAATTAGTACTACTCGCATAAACTATAGACAGTATTTAGTGTAAAAGAGTTTAACTAATACATATTGCGTTTTAAACCGTTAAAAGTGTTTTATTTAAATGTGAACTACTCGCGTAAACTACAGATACTATTTATTTTGACCAAATCTTATCATATTTTCTAGAGTATAACCAATTGCCGACCGCCGCAGTAGTGAACGGAAATTGAGGCCTAATTTTTATTCTCTATGACTGGTCCATATTCTGATTCCGATTCTGTTTTCAAACCAAAATATCAATCGAGGATTCCTTTTCCAATTACAATTTCATTCCCATCGCGTCATTAATATCAAATTGATCAACACAATAGTAAAATCGACGCGTCACACGCACACATCCACACACACGTAAAGGCTCGTATAAATCAACGGCGCAACAATTACACACTTTCATGGCAAGTTGGAATTAGAAACTGTCATTTGCACCGTTCGAGGGTTCGAGGGGGTGTCCCCCCTTGTATGTTACGGATGGGAGGGAAAAATAGGGTGCACGGACCACCGTGGACCTGATTAAAGGATTACGCTGGGGTGGCGTCCGGTCTAGTTAGATTTATTATGCCAAGTATTTCAACTAGTTAGCCGCGGCTTACTATTCAAATCCCTTAGTGCTATAACTATTCGCATAATATGAAGGTGGGCTTCGCAATGTTTTGAAGTCTTATTGCATCGGTATAAATAACTAGCTCATTAGTGATACAAAAAAAAGTATCATTTATATATAGCTACAAGCTGTGCCGGCGATTTCGTCCGCGAGAATCGTTATTTTGGGCATTAATATTCGCTTTCGCAAACACGACACGACGTCCGTCGCGTCCCTTTCCGTCGTTCTTGCAAGTAAATCTTAAAAAATAGACAAATAGCGTCGCTTTAATAATTTAAAGAGGAATTATTCTTTTATAGTTTGAGTATCTAGAACCTTTTTTGGAGCGTACGCCTCGAAATGGTAAATACTTTTCAAACATTTAAACATTTTTCGCTGTATCTTCGCTTGTCAGTGCAATGTTTCATAGCCTATAGCCTGCCTCGATCAAATTTTTCAATTCGAACCCGTAGCTCCTGAGATTAGCGTGTTCAAACAAACGAACTCTTCAGCTTAACATTATATTAGTATAGCATTAACCTCAAATGATACATGAGGATAGACAAGCCCGGTGTTTACTTGAAAGGTGAAATACTTTAGGCACATAACATATCACAAGATGCTCTTTCCACCAACTTCGTGGCCCGGACGTAATTTTAGTTTTTTTCCCATTTAATACCCGTTAAACATAAAAAACAATAAAAATGATTAGAATCGTTTTGGAACTCGGTGGGGAACGATCCTCGGCCCCGTTGATTACTAGCATAATTGTTAAATAATAAGCTAGGCTACATTATAATAGGACGTTATCCATTACACGATTAATAGTCGTAATTAAGGAGCCAAAAATACTTAAAGGATACGGACCTGTTTACGCGCGAAGTAAACAATGAGACGATTGTAAACAGTGGGATACGGGTGGTCTGGGCGTGCACATCCGAAATAGCCGAGGAAAAACATAGTTTATAGGCGATTATTAAATTGAAGGCGGCTACTGCACTGTGAAGTTGTAAACCCAGCCACCCACCCGGGAACCGAAATAGATGCAACAATAGCCCGGTGCATATTGTTCACGTTTTATCTATCGATGTTCTTCTTTAGGTTACATTTAGAAAACTGTTATCTCTAGTATTACACATTTCAATAAAAAATAACGGTTTAAAATGCGAAAAAATATATTTCGCGTTACTACTTTAATGAGTCAGTTCTGTTAGACCTACCTAGTTTCTTTAAACACTAACTACAACGAAACAGATGGCGCTAGCGTAACACGGCTACTGCATAGCATCCGAAATGTCAATGTGCATTTTATTTTAACTACTACGGCTCGACGGATGCTTCGTAGCAACCGCGGTCACGGGGGGTAAACCTATTATAGTTACTTCATATTGCAAGATCACTCAACCTGGAACACGCTAGTATTTCTATGTCTTCTAGAAGTCGTTTCCAAAATCACTCTTTCTCAAATTAAAACAAGCGCAAATCGTTCGAGTCATTAATAAACCCGCACACAGTTACATGCGTCGGAACTTAGAATTAAATAATTTATCGCCTCCGAGCTCCGTAGAGGCTGGAGGCATAATAAATCAATATGCAAGGCATGCATACAGGCGGGCGGGGCTGAGCCCTTTCTTGACTAATTAATTAAACAACCGATTCATTACAGCGGCCTCCTTTGCCCTCACATTCGTCTACGGAGGCCGGGAGGATCCTTCGCATTTTTCATCTAACATAGTTCAACCTGTTTAATGTTGTGTGTCGAACCCTGCCTGCGAACGACGAGACAGACCTAAAATATATATACCTATACATCTATAGATTATCTCTTTGTGATACTGTGGTATTATAATACGTATGTGTTTACAGACAATTGTAAGTATTGTCTGTAGTTTACGTGGTCTACTCTTAATATCTTGAATACAAAAAATTTAACGGCTTAAAATTTGAAATATATTAGTTAAGCTATTTTTACGTATGGCTTGATGATTGCTTCCCGTAACCACTAATACACTTCGTGTTTTAAAATATTAAATGATCTTTATATTACACATTTTTTGGTTAAATTTTATCTGTGAAGCTATCTATATTAATTTTGCTTATTTATTTCATGACGTGTACTTTCTTCCGATTTAACAAGTTACGTTAACATTAGCAAAACATCTCATTTTACTACTTTATACCTTTAATTTGATTTCATACATAAATATAAATTAATGTATACAAAATCTATTCCTAATCCATTTAGCGACATTACAGAATACCTAATGATAAAAATTCAAAAGCCGATTTAAGAAGTTATACAAAATCGATGTTTATTTCACACTAAAAAATATTGTTTGTTTAAATAAACACTTTAACGGTTTAAAACGCGATAGATATTAGTTAAACTTATTTGAGAATTATTTAAAATTTCGGCCCGACGTTTCGGATGCTTTGCAACAGCCGTAGTCACGGGGAGCAAAGAAGGACTTAGTTTTACTTTCACGTTCTGACATGAAAGTAAAACTAAGTTTTACTAATATATATCGCGTTTTAAACCGTTATTTTATTTAAATGTGTACTATTCGCGTAAACTACAGACAGTCTTTAATATATTTTTCGTTTTGTTAATAGAAAATCTGTGTAGTTTCAAATCATTCAAAACAAACATTTTAAACAACATTTTTTTCTTTTACAAAATTTTCAAAGACAACAGAAATATACGTTTAATATTTATTATGTATACGAGCATTTTATTTGATTAAATTCTTGAAATAAGTGCGGTCTCATTAAAGGGAAAAATAATTTATATTCACTCGTTAATTTTAATAAAGCAAATATATATTTATAAACCGTTATCATTAACTCGCATTACGATCGGTTCCAGTGAAACAGAACTCATAAATGCTGAATAAGCCCGTTTCAATGAGAGCAATATCGGTCTGTTTCAAAGAGTTCATACATTGAGCTCAACCCTTCGCTAACAGAAGCCTTCGCGTGCAATTATTTTAATTTCTTTCCCTGATGAGGGTTTATCTAGGCGTGATTTTCTATGCATTGCGGACATTTTTTTATGTTGTGTGTTAGAACGAAGATTCTAAATGCAAAAGTACCGTGCTTAAAAGTTTTTATATCAATTTTTGTTTTTCCAAACATCCTGTTTAACTCTATAACTGTAATCTGTTACCCACGACGTCGTCCACGTCCCGTTGTTCTTGCAAGTTAATCTTACAAGATAGTCATATACTATTGCGGCCTGTTTTTTAGATCAGTTAAATAGGAATCATTCTTTCATACAGATTTTTGGGTATCTTGAATGATTTTCACAGCGTACGTAATGGAAACCCACAAGGATTTAATTTTCCCCTTTTTTTCGATATTTTCCGTTGTATCGTTTAGCGTTGTGTATTGAATTGACAAAAATAAGGACCCAAACAAAATATGTAATTTAAAACACATCTCTTAATCCACTAATTTTCATTTAACGACTCTTCGCTTTAGGCAGTGTTGGTCCCTTAGAAATTATTAATAAATTACCCTCATTAGAAGGGGTTTAAGTATTTTGCGGTTGACTGCGTTTGTATTTCGAACCATTTTGTAATGACGAGCCAAATTCATTTTGAATATAACAAAGAAACATTTTTAGTTCTTACTGCGTATTATCGTATCTTAGAGAACTTAAGGTAAGTAACATTTTTATTTATCAGGATGTAACGGTGTCTTTGTCACCCATATTTACGACCTATTTTTCCAGACATTCAGATGTCTGAAACCGAAGGCCGATAAAACGTAGTGGCTTTTTTGGCTACTGATTTGTGACTTGAACAAAATGTCGATATTCCTACCACACCTTAAATATTTCAATTTCCAGACGAACGTATTTTAGAAAAACTATAAATTGATTACAAAAATGTTGGAACCAGTGGGAATCGAATCTATGGCCCGTCGATTATTAGCCATAAGTTGCTACGGGCCCGTCGCTTCTAAAATTGAAGAATGCATTATTAGAAGTTAATGACCGTATAGTTAGTACTAACTGGTTTTGGAGCGTGGTTCTCTGGGTCCGTCGACTGTAACTTTGATTGCTTTGTTGTAGGTTGTCACTTGTGGAGGGGACGTCGAGACAGTTATCGTTAACGTAAACGATTTACCTGAAACAATAAAAATGTGGTTTCATTCGAGTTGAAAAAAACAATAGTATCTATAATAATAATAAAAAATAAACGATAAATAAATAATTTGTGATAATAAATCTACTACACTAAAAACAATGATCATGATCATATTTTAATTAAAGGAACAATATGTTGCATCAAACTACTTTACAATAATAACACGTTTTTAACTATTACATATTAAAGTTACATTTTAAAATGGGTTTATTTTTTCATGGAAGTTGTAATTGCAGTGACATTAAAAAAATAATAATCTTGTTTTTGATGTCATGCAGTTACCGCAATATTCGCTTATACCGTAACTTATATAACGTAATAGTTATACAATGTAATATAAATTTATTCATACAAGGAATTTCTCAACTGAGACTTAGTAGACGGTATCGTTAATATAGAAGTTTCTGCCAAATGTCTCTCAAAGGGTCAAAATCTATGGTATAATATTAAGTGTACAAACAATAGTTATTACAAAAAAAACCTTGTCACAACCCTAGATTTAACACAAAAGCATTTTGAATCGGCACGGAATAATTACAAAATATTCATTAAAAGGATTTAAATTTATTTCCCTACATAAACTGTTTTGGACGTGAGTGAAAGCGATAAATTCAATCTGCGGTCGCTCTCTTTGCGCCCAAAGCCAACTTTTTATAGTTCGATTTTGATCACTTGTTCGGAAAGTTCAAAAATTTATTGCCGGTTTGTTTTCAATTTTGCGTGCCGAATGAAATTTTAACTGCTACATCGGCGCTATCTACAAATTGTCTATCAAAAACTAACTGGTTTTTCAGAGCGGTTGATAACTCTCGACTTGTGTACGCTCCGTTTGTTCACAGACGACCGCGGCTAATTGGATTGCCTATAAAAGCTCATCAAATAAGCACTCGAAATGAAATCTCATTCGGATATGAGAGTCGAAAGAGCGACTCGTCCGCAGCGGCGATGTGTCACAAACAACGGGCAAACCACTTCATCACGGCGTAACGTTGCCAATAAAAAAAACATTTCCATCTGCGGAAAAACCACAGTTAATATTAAATGACCGTCCGTCAAAGCTGTATTGTGGAGCGCTTTGGCTCGCTGCGGGATGCAGCCAATACCGATTTTGTGATTTTTCCGAGCCCGAGGGAGGCAGGGGGTGACATGTAAGCTTTAATGGAGCCTGAAGCGGCACACCGCCGGCTACACGCGAAAAAACTGAAAAAAGGCCTCATTCATACGTGATTTCATGTGTAGGCTACTTTCTGCGGGCGGCGTGTGCCGCTCGTTAAAAATGGACGTTTACATGTGCCCGCTTGTTGCGGCCTATCCAAGTTTATTAACGTTGCCCCAGAGACGTGTTTGCGCTCGGGGGCTGACTTTTTGCGTTTTCGGAATCGAACCTCCTTCAGTTTGCTTCATATGAATATTAAAATAACGGATATTGACATTTAGATAATAGTAAAGTGCGTGTAATTGTCGAACTTTCCATTAGGTATTCTGAGAATTTTACTTAAAAAATATAAAATGATTTGGTACTTAGTATTTCAAGCTATTTCAATCAATAGCTTTAAAAATTATAGCTTTTACCTGCAACCTCGTATCAGTCCCGCGGTTCTTAGGAAATTAACTTAAGACAGATCTATAGTGTCGCGGATTTTTTTTTACTTTAAAAAGGATGCACTTTTATTTGATGAATAATTTGACCCCTTTTTTCACATTTTCCATAGTTTCCTTACCTCTATATAACACAACACAACAATGATTCTGATTTTTCAATTTCAACAGGTAGTTCCTGAGGTTAGCGCGTTTAAACAAACAAACTCTTCAGTTTTATAATATTAGTATAAAATTATAGTCAACCAAAAGATAATTTTAATAATAGTAACTAAGCACTATAAATCGTGTTAAATTAAAAGATTGACGTTTTAGTACATAAATATGTTGATTAAAGTTGGTCTGCTAAAAATGTGTGTGTATGTTTGTAAAACCTATCGTCGCTGACGATGCCGGTTCAAGTCCTGCCCGAGTCGAAGATTTTTTTTCAATTTATTTTCGATTTAAATAACACTTTAACGGTTTAAAACGCGATATATTAGTTAAACTTATTTGGAAATGATTTTTAACTTCGGCCCGACGTTTCGGATGCTTTGCAGCAGCCGTGGTCACGGGGAGACTACATTTAAATGTGTACTACTCGCGTAGACTATAGACAGTATTTATTTTCGATTTTTAAATTATATAGTGCCTTCATGTGCAATAACATGTAAAAAATATTAATGTTTTCAAACCTATTATTTCGAATATAACCGCCTCTTAATAAGTTCTCCTGATCGAGCAGTCATGAGTGATGGACAGGCCGTACCAGGCGCGGTGTGCCTCGAGCCGCGCCTAAATAAATAACCCTCACATAATGTACTCGCTACACGATATCCTTGCTTTATGAGCTAACAATTCCCTCATTCACCTCTACACCCTTCTTATGGCTTGCCATGGCGTATTTTTATTTGATTTATTAAGCTGTTATTAATTTACGCTCGTTGTTAGCATGTTTGTCAACTGTTTTGTCACTTTCGTGTCACGCCTAGAACGGTGTAATAAAAACGTAACGTTTGTTTCTGTTTTTTTAGAAATATATAGATTACACTATGGATTAGTGAATATGGAGCGTTTGGGATGGTTGATTGTTTGGGATATTTAATCCCTATATTCTTATGTAGGTATGTTTTTCTATTTTATTTTTATGGTAAGCCTAAAGCACCGAACGTGCTAGATAAATGCGATCGTGTTGCTTCATGTTTGTCTGCCTGTAAATGATATAATGAACCATGACTCTTAATAAGTCCCTAGATCATACATTGTTGTTACCGCTAAAGATAGAATCAATTAACTTCAATGGCGCTGCTAATGACCAAACGCAATCATTTGTTTTTATTGATAGTCGTAATGGCGGCGCTGGTGTAAAACTGAAATAAGTAAAAGAAAAGAAGTGAAAAATATTAATAATACATACGTTACATTTTAAGGTCTGACGATACTTTCGAGAGAGCAATGTTTTCTGAAATTCTTAAATTAAAGAAAAAATATTTACGGTTTTAAAAAAAAGAACGTTGACTGTTTCTTACATTTTTTCTCCGATACGGCCAGTCCACATGCCACCTCCGAACAATCTAGATCCGGTTTCTAGATACGATTTGACAGCTGTCAGATACACCTTGCGACGTCTGATCGCGATTAGGACGACGTCGGGCGTAATGACGTGCTAATGCCTCACCTCGAGCGCTAATTGACTGAATTAATATGCTGATGTAAGCTGAGGTGTTCGCCATTTGCCGCCAATCGAGATGCGGGCTTAGCTATAACTGCGGTGATGTTTCACTAATCATCATAATGGGAGCTTTTGATATATCAATAGCGCTGCATTTATTCTAACAGTTAGTTTTTTGTTTTCTAGAATGTCTATTTGCTTAGTATACAAACTTGTATTTTGGAGTTTCGAACGACTCCTTGGTCTTATGCTTGCAATATATGGTAAACAATTAATGGGTCACGAATCGTGAAATTTAATCGCATTTCATGACATGTTATATAGTTCGTCGATATATATCGTGTTCAATTAAGTGAACCATGCGTGTAATGTGTGTTTTATCGTAAACAAATACCTAATTATACGTATAAAACGCGAAGTATATTAGTTATATTTAATTTACGCGTTTTATAAGTTACAAGTGTTTTGGGTTTATTAAATTAACTACATCAAACTATAACACAAGATGAAGAAATATGAAGCATCATCAATGTTCTCAGTGTACAAAAATATATGCAAACCCTTTTCTCTTCCAGTCATTGATCTATTATATTGCAGAATTTAAGAAAGTTGGTCCAGCGAACGCGGCGGAAAAAATAATTGTGTTAGTCTGTACGTGTATGTATTTATATTTCTATAGAAATAGCAATATAAAAATATATAAAGAAGTTCCTTTTAAGTCGAAAAGCGTTTGCATATAAGCCATGACTAACCATTTGTGATATGTCACGGCAATGATCGGTATTAGCCGCGCGGGCGCGTCACCGCTCACCACAGAGAACACTCATAGTTACGTAACTTGCGGGCCGCGTTTAGTTAGCAACTACCCCGAAACCGAGAGGCGACCGTAAATGAAATGGTACTTTTCCGCGGCTAACCCGGCCCGGCTGGTTAACCGGGCCGCGTTATGGTTGACAAGGCCTTTACCGCGTGCGTGCTACCTACACGATGTTTGCGTAAAGCGGTTACTGTGTCGGCGTTCTTTATCGAACTCGAAGATGTCTTGTTTGACACTTCGTTATACGCGAACGTTTCATTTGTGGTCAATCGAACTACATGTGCTACAGATAATAAACTAACGTCTAGTTAAGAGATGGCATTCGAAATTCAAATAGAAACGAAATTAGAATTATTTAGTATCTGTAACATAGATTATCCATTAACATGGCGTTCGAAATTCAAAGTATAATATTTTATTTGTAGAAGTTTTTAACCGCGTTTTGTTTATACTCGTAATATGGACTATTCATCTCTCATACAATCTTATTGTCTAGCAATAAAATGTCGGCGATTAAAGGATTTCCTCGTAAACTACCAAAGAATTCTATGCTGTGTGCTTGGCATATCGGTATCTGCGGCGTTCTCGTACTAAAATGCGCAGTAATCAAAGCGTACACACGTAACGGATTCATATAAAGAATTCTTCAAAGGAAAATTTTTATTCAAATGGCTTTGTGACCGCACACCAGACTCCGCCCACACGGAAGACGTTGCTTTTCCGCGATTTTCCATTGGCTCCCGGCTGGAGGCGTGCCGTCTTCTTCTTAAACAACTTTTCATTTGCACGACTCTGAAATATCGTCGGATTAAAACACTGAAGTTCCCGATGCGGTTACTAGAGACGGTTTTTATAAAGAAACAGACTTCTACTGTGAAGTATGTTGGCGTTTAATTAAATGTATCGAATGCT